TTAGGCATCTGGAACCCCCAGGCGCGAGATGTTCTCCAAATTCGTGTTGGGTAGGCCACTTAAGGAGTAAATCTCTTCCTACCGAGATGTTCTCCCTTCCTAGGGGTCAAACCCCATACCCATACCGCTAGTTAAAGGTAGAGGACCATCACGTACATACCCATTGGTTGTACTGGGAGCTTTAATGAACTGATTTAGAAGACGAGGGCTGAATAAGTAGGATGATGCATCCTAACCCCTACTCGCCGGAAGTTTTTTGTTCATTTTTTCTGAAGAATTACTTGAAGAATCGGTGCATGATATATTTGATTTGTACGCACATAGATAGGTGTATGCTACTGTATATATTATGAACTATGTAGTAGTTTCCTAGTTAGTTCTCTGTTTTGAGAATGATGTATTGTGTATATGTTTTGAATGGAAACTGACCATGCAAATCTTGCTCTGTTTAGCCTTTTTTTTTGGTTAACATGTTTTAAACTATTGGAACATAATGCGTTTGTGATACAAGCTCCACTTTTCTGAGTTGCTCCTTGTCATTTCTTGTTATAGAGATTCCTGAGGAGCTTACACACAAGAACCGCCTTCAAGAGTTCACCCAACGATCATCCCTTGATCGCCCTGTTTATCAGATTGTCAATGAAGGCTCTCAACATGCACCTCTCTTTAGATCCAGTGTTTTGGTTGATCGGTTTTGGTATACATCTCCTAGCACATTTTCACAGTTAAAGGCTGCGGAGCAGGACGCTGCAAAGGTTGCCTTGATAGGCGTGAAAGAAAAGATGAAACATGAGGGATGCCCTCTTATTCGTGAGGTTTGTGTAGTATTGCAAAATAATGTATCTATGACATTTAGCTAATATATAAGAGTCCCAGTGGCTTGTATCTAGCTCCTAGGTGATTTCTCAAAGGAACACTCTTCTTTAAGGCGTGTTTGAGTTTTAATTGATGCTCATTTTTAGAAAATTGTCCTTCAATTTAGTTATTTCTTTGGCCATGTCTTAGCAGCTATTATTAGGGTTAGAGTATTGGATATCTGGAGGTTAACAAGGTTGATTTTATGATCATCCTGAAGTATGGCACTGCTAATGTTGTAATATGAGATGAAGGTCTCTTATTTTTCCAACTGAACAGGTCAATAGACGAAAGCTTGAAAGTTGTAAAATTAATAATAAAGCATACTCATGTGCTTCATATAAGGATGTGTAGACCGATGCATCATAGTTTTGTATTCATTTTATAGCTCTATGACTATTAAGAAATTCATTGTTGATCTATCCATGATCTATTTAACTAGTGAATATTGAGGAAAGGTTCAGAGTGTAATACTTCGAGATATTTTCTTTGTCAAAGATTTAAGAGAGTATGATAACGTGTAGGCATTCTCTCCAAAATCTTTATCTCAGGGTATAAACAGTCTCCAAATTGCTGGTCAATAATAACCAAGTATGAGTTCTTGCAAAGAAGAATTTTTCACTATCTGTATGTTTAGTCTTGGACTCTCCTATTATGTGCAACTTCCTCGAAAACTTTGTGTCAGCCAAATGCCCAAGGAAGTAATCTTCTTCAGTTGCTCTCTTTACCCATCCTCATGTTCGTTTTCTTTGTCATTACACAATCAATTTTAACTAGCCGTGGTAGTTGTGGTAACTATGATATGCTTGATGTTGATGAATGAGTTTCTATAACTTTCTATTTTAGGCCCTGGGAAGAAGATGTGATGGTGGCAGCATCACAAAAAACAAAAGAAAAGAAGATGTGATGGTGGCATGTGACAAGTTTATCTAAGAAATATCTGTGTGAAAGATGGTAATCCTCTTAGGTTAGTAATGAGCGGGTTAATGACTTAATTCAACTGGAAGGTTCAGATGACCTTCTCATAACCTTGTAACAGTAAAGACAGCTGATTATGGATTGAAAATTCACAGTTTTGGTAGATGATTTACCATTTTAGTGAGTGAAACATGATTCTCTTTGATTGAAGTGTTTAACACAGTCCTGTTTTTCAATACAAGCTGTGAACCTGTAGTGCCCGTAGGTACTTCGGACGTAATTTTTTTTTAAACAACCGTGGTGTCCGGGTCAGCTTGCGCACACTTCGACTAATCCATGGGATACTTCGGACGTAATTATGTGCAAACACTGACCTTATATGGTGCTTTAACTTTTAATGCTCTGTAGTATATATGAAATCACTGAGACTTTATTTTTTTTTTAGCTTACCATAATTAACTTATTATCAACTTTAATTACAGATATTGTTAGGTTGAAGCCGATAAAAGCATTCTTCTTTGCTAACGGTCATATGAAAATTAGTCAACTCTGAAGTGCTATTCGTATTCTTTCCAGCATCATCAATAAACTACAGATGATTTTTTAGCAAATAATAAGTTTAGCAGAAAAAAGTTTGTCAATTACTGTAACTGTCAGTTATTGTGTTTATAAGCATACTAAAAGTAAAATCTACACAATAGGATTCTGCTATGTTCTTCATTTTAGACTTGTATGTATTCATGGCGTTATTGAACCTGTATGTATTTTTGAAAAGAGCATATGAAGGCCTTTATATTGAAAGAGCTGAAATGAAAAGGTAAAAAAAACTCTTAATCTTACTGAATTAGGTGAAGATTACATACCATGTATTGAAGAGTTTATGCTAAGGTGTGACTTACAAGCATATTTCCTTTCTAATTATAAATAGTTAAAGGATATTTGGTTATAACATTAACTGTAAGGTATTGAAAATATTCATTATGGATATCCTGGAGTAGTAAGCTCCTTGACATTATTAACTTTCTACCTTAACACATTCATGTGTGTGTATATTTTCTAAAAGGTTTTTTAATTTTTCATTTCAAATATAAACTCTTAAAAATTCAAAGTAAGATAATATTTTTCGAGATTTTTTTTTTTCGAGAGAAGTAATAGGCTATTTTTCTTTAGCATTGTGACTTTGGACATTTCTGTTCACTTTTTACATAGCATGGATGTATAGGACACATTCTGATATAAAAAGTAGGTTGATTTATTTATGAAGTGTTAAAGATCCAGAGAATGAGATAATGGAGAAACTTTCGGTTAGAGCTGTTGTACTGATGTGGCGTTTGGATCTTAGATCTAGCATGCTGGTTCATCATTTGTATAGTTTCTGAATATCTAAATCTTATGCTTCAAAGGTTAGTAATCCAAGTCTGTTTCAACTCTTGGTCAATCGACCCTATTAAAGTTTTCTAGATCCATTTACTCCAAACCTGGAAGACAATCTTAACAATGTTTCTCCTTTTTCATATTACTTATGATGATTTTACCTTTTGTACTTTGTCTAGGATACAGTGTTTTGCAAGTCTATCCTGAATGAGTATGCTGTAAAGATGAAGCTTGAGAAACCTATTTATCATACAGTTCAACCTGAGGGGTTGCTTCCTGTTTTCAAGGCTACAGCGGTCTTTAATGGTATTCAGTATATGGGAGAAACTGGAAAAAACAAGAAAGAAGCTGAACAAATGGCAGCTCGAGCAGCGGTTATGTCCATTTTAGGTCAATCGCCTTCGACCAAATTCCCCTCCCGGAAAAGGAAGGGAATCTTAATATCCAGTCTTTCAAGGATGTAACAAAGTGTTAACTTTTCATCAATTCTTTTGCAGAAACTGATTCTGGAACCATGATGTTGGAGATCATCAAGTCTAAGCGCAAGCTTTATGTTGCACTTGATAAAGTCCAGGATACAGGTGATATTAATGCTGGCTTCATGCCAACTGAACTTAATCCTCCAGTTCATGTGAGTAAAAGGAAAGAAGTTGAAGTTATTGACGATGCTGGGGAAAAGACTTATTCTGGACTTTTAGCATATGGTTTGGGACAACCTAGTGATATTCACGCACCTAATCAGCTTCACGTCTTTAAAAGACCAAAATTAGCATCTTCATCAGTGGAAGTTGCCCCTCCCATGGTATTTGTGCCCCCTGTCATTGATCCATCTTTGCTATGTTCAACTTCAGGAAAGAAACGTAATCGGCGAAACAAGAAAAAGGCAAAGAAAGATGTGCAAGTTGACCCTCAGTAAGTTTTATAATTTTTTTGAATGTATCTGTATTTATTATACATGTCCAGGTTATTGTAGAGTATGTAACGTAGAATGATTTTAAAGGTTCTGCCATTATTAGATTCGCTAAAATTTTTTATTTCATGGAACTTAAAGTCCTGTATAAGAAGCCCGTTCTATGTTCACAACCAAGTCAGCTAGTGCTCTGCTCATTTTTTCTTCTGTATATAATCCTTTTTTCTCTTCGCTGATGGGTGGCTAATCCTATCTGTTTGCCCGCCAGTGTTACATTCTCCCATGTCCTTGGGTCATTGCAATTTTTTCTTGACTCTAGCAAGTTGGTTTCTGGTCAAACATGCCTTGTCAAGTCATGAGTCTATTAGTTGACCATATTATAAATATCTCATCGAGATGAATACAACAGTAAAAGTCTCGCCCACAAAATTTTTCAAAAACACAATAGTGCATTTGTTTCACATGCCTTCATGCATCATCAATTGTCTATGATTGATTTAATTTGTTCAAACAACAACAACAAAAAACCCAGTATAGTCCCACAAGTGGGGTCTGGGGAGGGTAGTGTGTACGCAGACCTTACCCCTATCCTGAAGGTAGAGGCATTGATTTAATTTGTTAATATCAACTAATTTGTCAAGTTAGTTATATATGTCAGCTGACCCGTTTAGCAGTCTAGATCAAGTTAGCAATTATGTCAGCTGACCTTTCTAATTAGTTGTCCACGCCAGCTGACACGTCAAATCAACATACTGTTCTTTCAGCAGTACACGCCACAGAATCTAGTACTTAGTGCCCCATCATCAAGCACGTCTTCATGTCTTCTATAATTAATATTGTTAGTATCTGGACAATATAGTAATTGGTTCTATATGTATTATATCGACGTTTTTATCCTATTTTGCAGTCTAATTCGTTAAGTTCATTATGAGATCCTAGAATCCAGTATATGTGTGACAAGTTTAGGACGTAATTGTTATTTTTTTTTTCTTATATATGGTGAAATCCGGGCTAGCTTGTGCGCACCTCGGCTATCCCACTGGGTACCTGCTACCTCTCACCGGCACAGATACCAGCTAATGTAGCTCACCAAGGCTTAGGCAGATGAAAAGAAATCACCTAGTATTTTCCTTCTTCTTTGGGGTTTACGCCCTATTCTTCAAGATCTGTTCTCACACCCTTGGGTGTAGTTTAGGACGCACAAATTGTGCGTTCTACTTTGAGGCGGAGTGAGTGAATGTGTTTAGATGTGTTATATATTTTTAGGTTAATTTTATAGGACACTTCTTCCATGTCATTTTTTATGGTATTTGATTGGACATAGAGTTTAAGATGTTAACTTTTCTTATATATTGTGTTAGTGATAGTGAACAAACTATCAATGTAATAATTGCAAAGTTAGGTTTAATGGAGAAAACATCCCATCAAAGTTTTGAATATAAGTAGTTTAATGAATCTGTATCCCTAAAAGTAGTGAAAGTAGCATAGAAATGGAATGTCTTCAAATATTATATTACGTACATGCCAAATTGGAGAGTGTCATATAAATTGGAACAACGAGTATTATAAGAGAATATTTTAAGGTCATGCCATAATTAGAAATTCTAAAATTAGGAATCTTCTCTTGTTTTATGTAGTCTAAACTCCTGTATAAAGGAAGCCCTCCTGTATAAAGGAAGCCCTCTTTCTGTTTGACAAGAGTGGGTTGCTCTAGTGGTAAGCACCCTCCACTTCCAACCAAGAGGTTGTGAGTTCGAGTCACCCCGAGAGCAAGGTGGGGAGTTCTTGGAGGGAGGGAGCCGATGGTCTATCGGAAACAGCTTCTCTACCCCAGGGTAGGGGTAAGGTATGTGTACAAACTACCCTCCCCAGACCCCACTAGTGGGATTATACTGGGTTGTTGTTGTTGTTGTCTCTTTTTGCTCTTGTTTCAAATTTAATTAGATGCATGGAAGTGGAACAAATTCTTGTGCATGTGATGTTTGTATGTGCTCCCATGCTTTGTTTACAGCAAGAACTGATTTTAATCCATACTTCTTCATAGTAATGCCAATTCACGAGCAAGTCTTTTACCTAGCACGGGATGGCCTGTTGGCCTTGTTCATCTACTTCTGATGTTTTTGTTTGCTGGGTTTTAAGCATTGTGATACTCTTGCCTGCCTTCTGCAGTTTTTAGTACTTCTTAATATTTTCCTATACAAGAACCACCACAAGACCCTCTTTTATGTTTAAAATATTTAAATTCTCTAAAAGGTTTACTTATATCTATGTTGGACCAAGCGTGAAATTGTACCCAAGTCAAGGATGACACAGGAAGTGGGACAAACAGATATATTGGTAGTTAGTATAGATGTTATTTGGCTTGGATCACGTTTGCCTTGGAAGTAAATTCCAAGTCACTTGTGATACTTCATTTGCAATATTTTTGGATAAATATATTGCATTTGTAAGATTAAGGTTGCTCGCTTGTCAAGGATTACTTTGAAAAGCTACAGTGATTTTGTGAAGCGAAGATGGGGAAGAAAAACTCTGCAAAGGGAAAAAGTTGGTCACATGTCTAGTTATATCATATGACTTAGAAACATGTAAGTGGATCTCGTTGATATATTTTTTATGAAACTAAGATAGGAAGGAAAAGCATGAAAAGGGCAAGAGTTTATTTTTTTTAAACAAACTCCGAAGTTGGATGAGAACCAAACATGTATTATATATATATGGCTCATTGTATCATTGCTAATAAATCAATAGAATATTTTCCGTATATTATTTCTCGCATGGTATAAGAGCGTGAGTGAGACACATCCGGAAAGTCAGACAGTCGACGTGCGTCAATTTTCGGCGACTTTCTAGAGGCATGTACTTTATACACTAATGACATATCTCGTTTCTATGATGTGATATCGCGGATGACAAATTTGAAGAAACATGAATTGAATATGTCGACTTACTTGGGACAAGTACAGGCAGTTATGAGGAATTTGAGAAGTTGATGCCAATTTCTGCTTGTGTTGAAAAGAAACAAGAGCAACGACAAAAGATGTTTCTAGTTATTACACTCGCTGGACTTCCTAATGACCTTGATTCAGTGCATGACCAGATTTTGGCTAGTCCGACTGCCCCTATATTGGAAAGTCGGGTATCTCAGACTATGGAGAATAGACGAGGCGGAGGTCGTTTTGGAAGGTCTCGACCCAAGTGTTCTTATTGTAATAGGCTTGGACATACCCGTGAGGTGTGTTACTCTTTGCATGGTCGACCACCTAAAAATGCTCATGTTGCTCAAACAGAGATAGCAGGTAACCAGAGGTTTTCTTTATCTGAAGGGGAATATAATGAGTTCCTTCAGTATTGAGCAAGTAGCAGACACCTCCACAAGTAGCCTCAGTTGCTCAGACTTATACTTCTGTTGCTGGTAATTCCTTTGCTTGTGTTTCCCAGTCTATTACTCTTGTACTGTGGGTCATTGACTCAGGCACCTCTGATCATATTTCTGGTAATAAGTCACTTTTCCAAATATTGTTTATTCATAGTCTCTTCCCAGTGTTACTTTAGCTAATGGAGTCCAAACAAAAGCAAAATAAGTTGGACAAGCTCCCTTATCCTCTGTCACTTTAGATTCTGTTCTTTATGTTCCTGGTTGTCCTTTTAATCTTGCATCAGTTAGTCGGTTGACTCGTGCCTACCATTGTGGTATATACTTTATTGATGACTCTTTTGTTATGCAGGACCGCAATACGGGACAGATGATTGGCACAGGGCGTGAATCACAAGGCCTTTACTACCTTGACTCACTCAATCCTTCCACATCATGTCCAGTTACAGATTCTACAGACCTAATTCACAGACGTTTAGCACATCCAGAATTTTCCAAGCTTTAAAAGATGGTGCCTAGTTTATCTAGTTTATCTCTATTAGATTGTGACTCGTGTCAACTTGGGAAACTTACGCAAATCATTTTTTCGCGTAATGTTGAGAGTCGTGCAGAGTCTGTTTTTTCTTTTGTTCATTCTGATATATGGGGTCCTAGTAGAGTTCGTTCAACCTTAGGATTTCGTTATTTTGTTAGTTTCATGATGATTACTCAAGATGTACTTTGGATTTTCCTAATGAAAGATCGTTCTGAGTTGTTTTCTATATTCCATAGTTTTTATGCTGAAATAAAAAATCAGTTTGGCATTTCTATTCGTATCTTACGTGGTCATAATGCTTTAGAATACTTATCCTCTTAATTTCACCAGACTTTTCAAGGAATTATTCATCAAGACATCTTATCCGTATACCCCTCACCAGAATGAGGTAGCAGAGAGAAAGAATAGACACTTCATTGAGACTGCTCGCACACTTCTAGTTGTGTATTATGTTCCGTTGCGTTTTTGGGGTGATGCAGTTCTCATGGCTTGTTATCTGATTAATCAGATGCCTTCATCTTCCATCCATAGTCAGATTCCGTATTGTTTCCTCGGTCACCCTTATACTCTCTTCCTCCTCATGTTTTTGGGAGCACATGTTTCGTTCATAACTTAGCTCGCGGAAAAGATAAGTTAGCTCCCCGTGCTCTCAAGTGTGTCTTCCTTGGTTATTCTCGAGTTCAAAAGGGATATCGTTGTTACTCACCTGATCTTCGTAGGTACCCTATGTCAGACGATGTCATATTTTTTAGTCTCGGCCTTACTTTATCTCTTCTGATCACTTTGATATATCAGAGGTCTTACCTATACCGACTCTTGAGGAGTTTACTATAACTCTTCTATATCTTCCGCCACAGAAGTCTTACCTATATCGACCATTGAGGAATCTTGTGTTGCTCCTCCTAGATCCCCAACCACAGGAACACCACGTTTGACTTATCATCGATGTCCACGTCCAGCATCAGGCCCAGCTAATTCACGTCATGCACCTAGCCATGCTCCTACTGCGGACTTCTCCTCTTAGTCAACCGATTGCACTTCGAAAAAGTATACGGACCACACTTAATCCCAATCCTTATTATGTCGGTTTAAGTTATCATCGTCTGTCATCACCCCATTATGCGTTTGTATCTTCTTTGTCCTCTATTTCCATCCCTAAGTCTACAGGTGAAACACTGCCTCATCCAGGATGGCGACATGCTATTGATGAGATGTCTGATTTGCATTCGAGTGGTACATGGGAGCTTGTTCCTCTTCATTCAGGTAAATCTACTGTTAGTTGTCGTTGGGTTTATGCAGTCAAAGATGGTCCGGATGGCCAAGTTGATCGGCTTAAGGCTCGTCTTGTTGCCAAAGGATATACTTTGATATTTGGGCTCGATTATAATGATACTCTCTCCCGCGGCTAAAATAACATCAGTCTGCCTTTTTATATCCATGACTGCTGTTCGCCATTGGCCTCTTTATCAGTTGGACGTTAAGAATGCTTTTTTTCACGGTGATCTTGAGGATGAAGTTTATATAGAGCAACCACCTGATTTTGCTGCTCAGGGGGAGTCTAGTGACCTTGTATGTCGCTTGCGCCGGTCACTTTATGGTCTAAGCAACCTCCTCGAGCCCGGTTTGGTAAGTTCAACACAGTTATCCAGGAGTTTGGCATGACTCGTAGTGAAGCTGATCACTCTGTGTTTTATCGGCATTATGCTTCAAATCTCTGTAGGTTTATGTTGACGATATTGTTATTACCGGTAATGATCAGGATGGTATACTAAGTTGAAGCAACATCTCTTTCAACATTTTCAGACTAAGGATTTGGGCCGATTAAAGTATTTTCTGGGTATTGAGGCCGCTCAGTATAGCTCAAGTATTGTGATCTCACAATAAAAGTATGCCTTACATATTCTTGAGGAGACATGAATGATAGGTTATTGACCTGTTGTCACTCCGATTGATCTGAATTCTAAACTTCTGCCAGGAGAGGGGGAGCCGCTTAGCGACCCTGCAAGAGATGGGCGGTTGGTTGGTAAATTAAATTACCTCACAGTGACTAGACCTGACATTTCCTTTCCTGTGAGTGTTGTAAGTGAGTTTATTGATTCTCCCTGTGATAGTCATTGGGATGGAGTCATCCGCATTTTTCGGTTCAGCTCTAGGCAAGGGTTATTGTTTGAGTATTGAGGTCATGAGCAGATCGTTGGGTATTCAGACGTTGATTGGGCATGATCACCTTTTGATAGACGTTCTACATCTGAATATTGTGTTTTGGTAGGAGGTAATTTGGTGTCTTGGAATAGCAAGAAACAGAATATGGTTGCTCGGTATAGTGTAGAAGTAGAATATCGAGTAATGGCTATGGCAACATGTGAACTAGTTTGGATCAAACAGTTGCTCAAGGAGTTGAAATTTGGTAAAATCAGCCAGATGGAACTTGTGTGTGATAATCAAGCTGTCCTTCATATTGCTTCAAATCCGGTGTTCCATGAGAGAACTAAACACATTGAGATTGACTGTCAGTTCGTCAGAGAAAAGATACTCTCAGAAGACGTTGCTACAAAGCTTGTGAAGTCGAATGATCAGCTTGCAGATATTTTCACCAAATCCCTCACTGGTCCTCGTATTAGTTACATATGTAACAAGCTCGGTACATATGATTTGTATGCACCGACTTGAGGGGGAGTGTTAAAATAGTTATATGCAAAATAATCCTAGTCCCATATGTAGTAGGAGTAGAACATGTATTATATATATATGACTTATTGTATAATTGTTAATAAATCAATAGAATATTTTCCCGTGTATTATTTCTCACAGATTGCTTAGCCATTCTCATTTGAGATTTTTTGCTTTCAATAGGTTTTCAGCTTTGTCTTCTTCAGGTTCAGGGGAATGGATGCACAACCATTCAGTGTTTTCCTTCTTGTCTTCGGGAGTGCCTAGTGTGATCTGAGGCAATATAAACTGTGCTGAATAGCAGGATCTATAATTTTTGTAATTCAGAGAGATTCAATCAACTGATTTTTCTGTGATTAATTTGCTCTCTCCATCTCTGACTACATTATCTTTATACTACCTAATCATAAATCTACTCCTGGATAGCCGCCATGCATGGGTTTATATGTATTGTTAGTCCGACCACCTCATTTAGTTTTAGCAACCCAAGAATTATGCAAGTTGTCTTCTTATTCGCAATGATCACATATTTCTTTGGGAGCTCTCTGTATGGTTTCATTTGCTTAATTAACACATCCTCTTATGTATGCAGGGTGCCTGGTGCCATGTTGCCATTGACTCAACTTCCTCCCTGCTCGGTGGCACAGTGAGTTCCTTTGCTGATCATTTCTGCTAGAGGTGAAGAAACTTCATGAACCTCGTTTAAATTCTGTTAAAAATCATGCAATACTAATTGTATTTTGCTAGGTGTGATTAAAAGTCATCTGGTGAAATATGTTGCAGGTGTGAAATCGTTGAATTTGCCGGAATTGCGTCCTATGTCTGACCCCTATATGTATGTAATGTCATGTAAACTGTTGCTCCTTGTAGTAAGTTGGTGGACAGTGTTCGACTTGTTAAAGCCTTGCAACTTCTGCTGTAGTTGTGGATAGTTCGTTATGGGCTTTCCAATTTTCCTTGTGCCTTTTACTTTCTATGGCGTTTTCTTGCCTTGTTATCTCTGATGCTAATAAGTGAAATTGATTTTACAAATGCAAGGACGTAGCGCGCACAAAAATCAGAGAGACTATTGAGAAAATGTGCCCTACACGTGGAGTGTTAAGTCATGTTTTTTTGTGGTAATCTAAGCAGCATACTGAGGATAACAGTTACCTTTTCTGCTCTCCTTGTCTTCCTATAAATTTGGTATTTTTTGCGCGCGGTAGGTAATTGGGACCAAGTGAAAAATAGGACACAATAGAAGAAAAACAGGAATGGCCTCCCGAGAAATCAAACAACAAAGCTTGAACGAACACGAGACTATTCACTATATGCTATGTTGCATTTGTATTTTGTGTTAATTTAAAATTAGCAGTATCAGTGAAGTCAATTGACATGGGTGGGTTATGATTCAGTGGGTGTTTTACTTTGTGTTACAAGTAAATTACTAACACGAAATTCGTTGGCCTCGACCATGCGTACACTACTTTTGCATACTTGGAGGATTATTAGTGCACCATTTCAGAACAGCCTTAGCTCATACTTAGCTCAAACCCAATTGTTATGTGATTTCCTTAAGCTAGATAGCAGAAGATACTTTTTAGGACTTACGTATAGTAGATCATAATTGGATATTTATAACTGCACAAAACGAAGAGAAGGCATATTCGAATATGCGAGCAGATTCCCTTAATGACCATCTATTAATCCCATGTGGGAATGATATGACAAAAATAATATGAAAAAAGAAATCAAAATACATTCGAGTAAACTACCCTCTATAGCCCCTCAAAATTTTAATAGCTCATGTTTTTTCCCATTGACACGAAATGGCCCTTCGGCCCAAACATATTGTATCTAGTAGCCCGAAATGTCTATTATATATATATTTTTTATATATTGACAGCCTACTTTATATATATATTTTGTATAGTGACAGTCTATTTTGTATAGTAACAATTTATTTTGTATAGTGACAGTCTATTTTGTATATATTTTGTATAGTGACATTCTATTGTATATAAACTATATAGTGGCAGTCTATTTAGTATATTTTTGTATAGTGACAGTCTATTTTGTATATATTTTGTATAGTGACAATCTATTTAGTATATTTTTTGTATAATGACATTCTATTTTTGTATATATTTTGTATGGTGACACTCTATTGTATATAAATTGTATAGTGACAGTCTATTTTGTATAATTTTTGTATAGTAACAGTCTATTTTGTATATATTTCAACTTTATGCATAGTTATCTTCTCTCATCTTCCTCTCATTGAGGGACCATCCACTGGCGTCCATGGCCTCACAGTCGCCGAAAATGGTAACAAGATCGCCGAAGTTTTAAATTTTCAGCAAAAGATCTTCAAAATATTAACTTCATATTCACAGAAACTATAAGAGAAAATCAGAAAAAGAAGACAAGGCTGTCTCTCTCGTTGCCTTATGCTACACCTCTGCCGAAATCCGATCGGCCAACGATGACCATGACTGCTCCTCTCGCTTTCCTCTTCTTCCATATAGGTTGCTGCTACTGATTTTTACTAGTCACTGCCGGAATTGACCACTGGCCGGCGACGGTATTACCCCCATCGACGACAACTGTTCCACGCTATTGATACGCCATCCCTCTCCTCCTTCATCTCTATTTCTTTTGTTTTGATGTTGTTTTAACGGGTAAAAGTCCAGATCTTCTTAGATCTGGCCAGTTTTAGAATTTTCCGGCGATGTATCTAAACGAAAGGAATTCAGTCAGTGAGGTTTCCGGCTAGCAGTTGTTATTGTTTTTAGGCTATGACTTGTATGGGTCAATTTGTGGCTACTGGATGATATATGTTTGGCCCGATGGGCTATAAATGAATTTCTCTCATTAAAGTAATCCATCTTAACATAACTGTTAATTTTCCGTTTACTTATTTGTTAAACAACCATATTTCCTACTGAAATCTATATTTATTTATTTCAAAGTTTATTCTCCAATTTACTAACAACAAATTCAATTCTAAAGATGTTTCTGTCCATGTGCTGACACGTAGCAGCCCATGTTAAAAGAGCAGGATTAAAGGGATAGGACTTGATCAACTTCATTAAATGTTAGCCAAGGCCAATCTAATCTCAGTTAAGTAAATCATTGAGGCTTAATTAGCTGTTTATTAGATAAGGGATTTATATATAGTACATATTACCTGCCCAGATAAGATGTATTCAGGAATCAGGAGCTTTAAAAATGAACATGGGGTTTTAACTATACTACATATAGTATTAGGATATTACTGCCTTTAAATTAAATGCACTAGACTTAAAACACAACATAATCTCCTTGAGACAAGGAATTCTGCTCATCTCCCAATGCCAGCTTTGATTTTCACATTCCCCATTTCTTCTTGTCTGTGACAATACACACAAACATGTGGATGACTATCTTCATCGGGTTTGCCAAAACATAATGAAAAGAAATTGCTTAATTTATTTCTGTTTTATGAGTAACCAATTATTAATTTAATACTGTCAACCATCTCTTAGTTCACATACATTAATTCCTGGAGAAGTGTCGACATCTCAAACTTACCATAAGAAGTAGTATAACGATTTTGCACACTTGTGAAGTAGTTTGCCAAGTCGTGTAATGCAAAGAAAAGGGCTACTATTTGGAAAGAGACGTAGTGCGTTTCCGTTAATTTTTTCCTATTATTTTTCTAAAACTAATTAAAGTTTAAGTTCTATGTATGCTCCGATAATGCAATTTTGTTTCAATAACCAACTCATGTTAAAGCAGCTCTAATAATGTAAATTTTTTTACAATGTCAATATATATGACAAAATGCAAGTAAAACATAGAAGTTCCTCACATAATTAATGCGTACTATTAGCTCTGTTTCAATTTAATTATTTGAACTTTTTCGGAGTATTAGGTTCAAATTGACTAATTTTTTGTGTGAATTTAAATTTAGATTCTTTAGGTTTTTCGAAATATAATTTACATATAAAAAGTAATATAACTCAGAGTAATTAATAATTCAAATATTTAAAAATTATTTGTAAAAAATATGGTAAAAAAACCTTATTTAACTTCTATAATAGTAAAAGGTTTATTCTTTTAAAAACATATGGAGTATATATAGTAATAGTTCCATGGTTATTTTAAGAAGTAGAACCAAGAGTGGCACTGTTAGTCAACAAAAGTGGAAGTTCTGTCTAAGATCAATTAAGACAAAACGTCCCTTTCCTGCAACTACCTGCTCCTTCAGGCCAATTGTTTTAGCAATTATTGGAAAGAAATTCCATATATATGCAACCACACTTGACGACGTGAATAATTGATCGTCAACTCGGTGCTGCATGCTATTAACAATAATATAAGCTGAATGATCCAAATTAATTGTACACGTACAGATAGTATCCGAGTGCAAGCATGAAATTTAAAATATAAATTTAAGACTAATTGTAAAACCTATAATATTAGCATCCCAACAAAAGGGATCATCAACGGCGTTGGAATACGTTGTATAGCTAGTCCTGTAATTGTCTAAAACCTATAAAACTTTCGTTTATAATGTACTTTAGACGACGATCTTTTCATTTCCAAACTTAGTTTGCATCATATCAAATGTTTATACGCCGATTTTCTTTTTTTAACTGTCATAAATATTCGAACTAAGAACCTTCGTGAATGATTTGTAGTAATGCAAATTCATGCATTCACGATAAGGTAATAAGGTTCCATATTGTTTAAAACTCATAAATAAGAGAAGTATAACCAATATTTACCTTACAATCAGAGTAATTTTTTTTCTCGGAAACAACCTGTCTACCTCACACGAGGTAGGAGTAAAGATGTAAGATTTGCGTACACTCTACGACCCTGGGTATATTATTTGTATACGGTAAAAACCGGTTAGTCCTTCGTACGAACTGGTTTAAATGGTAATACATTGGATCGGAGAAGCGTCTTCATAGTATCAGGTTGAGGTCCGAAGTCAGGTCACCAAGCTTCGAGCCCGAAGGACCGATCAATGTCAAGCTCGATGTTATTATCAAGTTGGAATCCAAGTCGAACTATGATGCAAAGTAAAGTTATCGAACTTATGATTCAGAGACCGACCAACACTGACCCCGAATCAATACAGGAATCCGAGTCAGAATCGAGCTCGAGTCAAGATCGAGAGCTCGAGTCAAGACCAAAAACTCGAGTCAATATCGAGCTCACAGACAAAAGCCATTGCAATCCCACTAGAGGAGAGAATCCTGGCAGGAATTATGGAAAAACTAATTTATCATGGGTCTCCCACTATATATTTTTAATTATATCTAAAAGTAGGATCCTCCACTATAAAGAGGGTGGCTACATTTCTGTAAAGGACAGTTCTTTGCTTACATTGTAACTCAAGCACCATATACTCCTATATTGAAGAATTATTCTTTAAAGTTTCATAAATTGATTTATCTTGCTTAGTCCCGAAAATCATATTCTTTCCAACCTCGTTTATTTTGCATTCTTTGCAATCCGTATTTGATATTTCTATTTATCCTTACGATTTGTATTAAGCTATACCACATATCCTTAGAACTACGTACAAATTTAACTCTATCCGTTTTTCAGGTAAACAGTTTGGCGCCCACCATGGGGCTAAGGATAACAATGGTTATTTGATACGAATCTGCAAAAACACACCGTTTTGCGCTTGTTTTCGGATGTATCTTGGATTTCGGATTAGCAACGACTAAGTATCAATCAAATGGCCTTACCTATCGACAATGAAGCTGGTCTTCAAGATGAGAACAACAACCTGACACCCAGTATTGAAAGACCGCTTGTCAACGCCGTTGGAGCTCGAATCGAAGTGCCGACAGACATTAATTCGCATGTGGCCATTGAGGCGAACCTACATTCTGAACCTGAAAATAGCATTCATGGTGGAATTCGATCTGCAGCTCGAGATACCCATAACGTCGAGGAAAACAACGTCAACTTGTGTATGATTTTCGAAATGTCGCAAGCTCAACAGGCAGCAATAGCTCAGTTGCAGAGTCAAACCCAGATACCGAGTAGGCCGGAGCCCAGCAACCC